CAGAGCTCATAACACTGTGTGTGTGTGTGTGTGTGTGTGTGTGTGTGTGTGTGTGTGTGTGTAGTAATGCAAAAGCACTGTAGTAAACTCTCAATCTCAGTTAAAGTCCGTTCATAAGCGTCCGTCTGGGGGTCGTGAGCGCGGTGGTTTTGTCTCCTCAGGACACGCTCATCGTCTGGTCCGAAGCGGAGAACTACGACCTGGCTCTGAGCTTCCAGGAGAAAGCAGGCTGTGATGAGATCTGGGAGAAGATCTGTCAGGTGGGTCCAGTGCTTCATTTGTAAGTGAATAATGGCCGGATCCAGATCAGCGGTTAAAAGGCGCTGTGACCGACACTGACGACACAACTTCAGTTTTCCCGGAACGTTCAGTGACGTCACTAAACGGTGATGACGCAACTATAAGAGCATGGTTCTCAAGTTTCTGCATGGACCTAACTATTAACTATACAGCCTAGCTTTTCAAACATGGGTCGCCAGGATGATTTAAGGCAAATATATGTAAGTTGCATTATAAATAACACAATTTGTTTCCATGAAAATAAAATACAATCATAATCTATATAGAAAAGGTATAAATATATCTGACATAACTAACCGATATAAAACAGATGTGAGGTGCAGCGAAAGGAAACCGAGAACCGAGATGACAGAACGCGCATCCTGTTTGTTTGCTTAATTACAAAAACACATGTTCTTTTTATTGCAAGTGTGCAAAAATAAAAGTAAACATTTAGTCGTTTAGCAGACGCTTTTATCCAAAGAGACTTACAAATGAGGACAACTAAAGCAATCAGAATCAACAAAAGAGCAATGATACACAAGTGCTCAGTTTAACGTTTTAGACACGTAGCAAGGTTTTTTTTATTATATAGACCTAATAAATAAAAAGAAAACAGAATGGATAAAGAATAGAGCAAGCTAGTGTTGAGGCCTTTTTTGCTTTTGTTAATTGCACAATAAATAAAAAGAAAAGAAATAGAATACAAAAAGAACAGAGAAGCTAGTGTTTTTTTTTAATTATTCATTTTTTTAACACTTTGCGGGTTGTCTTACTCTTATCTGTATGACCAAAAATGGAGTATTTAATGTGTCAGCTGTTTGATCGTGCCGGCGCCACACACTCACTCACACACTCTCTCACACACACACTCACACACTCTCACACACACACACACACACTCACTCACACACACACACTCACTCACTCACTCACTCACTCACTCACTCACACTCTCTCACTCATACACACACACTCACTCGCACGCACACTCACTCGACACACTCACTCACTCACACACTCACACACACACACCACATATTCTAGCAATTCAAACTTGCCATCGCAGTCGGTTCATTATCAAAATAAAATACAGTCAGCTAAACATATCAATATAAAGAGTCCGTGTATAACCGGTCTACAGCTGCTGTTATGCCAAGCGCATGTGAAGAGGATGATTTTTCCGTCGATATGCGAACACGCATGAAACCTGGTCTACATTATAAATAATAGTTTAACATTGAAATACATTGCGAATAAGGAAACATTGGATTTGTGCCAAATGAGAGAGCTACGTGAGCCCAGCAGTACTTTCAGTTTCACTTTGTTTTGGTTTCTTTAGCTTTATATTTTTTTCATTCTTGATCTGTTCTGCATACCGTTACATTTACATGATTTGTTTTGGAGTGAGGGGAACTAGACTATGTTTATAGTGTTTATAATGTTTATACATTATAATATTTCACTTTATTTGGTATTATTTCTGGTATTATTACACTCTCTCCAAACGTTCTGCTGCTCACAGAAGAGTGGAGAGAGTGGGTTAAGCAGTAGCACCAATCTACGAGAGCGATTTTTAATTTAAGAAAGCTGATTGGTCAATAATATGTTGAGGACCAATACATAATCAACAAATCATGCTCCAAATACATCTACATAAACCCGCAATCGCTCTATCTCGTATGCACGCATGCAATGTCACGATCTAATGCACTTGTTAATGCCGGATCTTTAAAAACATACCGGAACGCAAAAATCCAAAATCTGACATTTTCCGGAACAGGATCCGGCTCAAATTAAGCACTGGGTGGGTCTCTGTCTGGTCTTTAGGGCCTTCACTAGTCATTATGCTGATAATCGAGTAATCTGTCGATTATTCTGACGAGTAATCGGATAACTGTCTTTTTTCTTTTCTTTTTTTTTTTGTGGTAATAAAAATAGTGAAGAATAGCTTTAAAGTGACTTAAATGCATATAGTAATGAGGCAGTAACAATTAGTTCAAACAATGTATCATTGCTCTTTTGTTGGTTTTGATGGCTTCTATTGTCCTCATTTGTTAGTAGCTTTGGATAAAAGCATCTGCTAAATGACTAAATGTAATGTACTCGACACGGGCAAAATGCAATGGAGGATTTTTTCAAATGGAGTGCTGGTAGATGACGGCCGTGTGTGTGGTGTGCAGGTGCAGGGCAAGGATCCGTCTGTGGAGATCACGCAGGACCCCGGGGACGAGTCTGAGGAGGAGCGGTTGGAGGACATGCTGGAGAGCGGTCACCCGCTGGAGCTGCCCCCCTGCGAGCCGGGCTGTCTGGAGGAGCTGGAGGAGCTGGTGATGTCCGTGCTGCCGTCGCCGGTCCGGCGGGAGAAGCTGGCGCTTGCGCTGCTCAGCTCAGGGTATATCAGGAAGCTGCTGCAGCTGTTCCGGGCGAGCGAGGAGGAGGGGGACCGCCGGGGCCTGCAGCAGCTGCACCAGATCGTGCGCGGCCTGCTCCTCCTCAACAAGGCCACGCTGTTGGAGGTGATGTTCTCCGACGACTGCATCATGGACGTGGTGGGCTGCCTGGAGTACGAGCCGGCGCTGCTGCAGCCCAAGAGCCACCGCCAGTTCCTCACCGAGACGGCCCGCTTCAGAGAGGTGATCCCCATCAGGGACTCGGAGCTGCGGCAGAAGATCCACCAGACCTACCGCGTGCAGTACATCCAGGACATCATCCTGCCCACACACTCTGTCCTCGAGGACAATTTCCTGTCCACGCTGTCCTCCTTCATCTTCTTCAACAAAGTGGAGATCGTCAGCATGCTGCAGGTGCGTCGCTTCACGCCGTTAATTGAAAACTGTGGCGCTGCGGGACAGTAGAGTAGCTGCACGATAAATCACAATCACGATTAGACAGAAGCTGTGACAGTCATGTGTATCTCGTCAGTGAAGCAGGTTTCTGTGATTAGCAGTAAATCTCCATCTGAAGGCCAGAGAAACTCCAAATACACCTCGCAGAAGAAACCCAGGCAATCCCTATAGCACTAGCTGAATAAACAGAAGATTTAACTGCTTTCAGTGATTCAGCGTGACTAATAAACACACGACTATATGATTTATCTGAGTTCTTATCTACGGCTCTGTGTAGTAAATGCTGCTCCATCTGAAAGCAGGTGATGGAGATTTACTACTGATCACAGAACAGTGCTGGTTCATGTTCGAAGCATGAGAGAATATGAAATATGTTCACATAAACTTGAATCAGATTTGAATTCTCCACTGTAAGAAGACCTCATGCATAATACAGCGCAGTGATTTGATCATAAGAGTTAATTCTCATGAATAATACTGAGAAAAGCTCGGAAAACTGATGACGTAGAGGCATACTCTGCAGCCACTGCAAATTAGCACACATACCTCTCTTTTCATGACGTCGGTTCAACTTTTCTTTTTAAACCGGAAGAACTTAAATGTAGTTGAGAAAAAATCTTGCAGCATAATCTTGGTTAAAACAATCTGATTTAATGCAATTTGAGTTTAATTTCTACCCTACACACTGCTCAATCACATGCACACAGCACACTACTTACCGCAGGGCTAGTGAGGCCACACCCCCTACATGCACCGTGCTTTCCTCCATAACATGAACAGATCATTTCTTAAATCCTGCACACACAATATCAAAATGTCCATCTTGGTAAGTATTCATATAAATTACATGAATATAACAAAAAATTGTTTAAAACTTCCTTGTGCTGTGTGTGATATACTGTGCAACTAAATTAGGCTATACCATTGTAAAAACAAATACACTGACTGAACAAACCATAGACTGGAACAAACATTTAGGTGAGATGATAATAAAACAGAAGTCTAAAAATGACCCTCCCCCCACACAATCCCCTCTAGTCACCTAAGAGAGGATTCCCCGGCATTTTCTCTGAAGCCACTCTTGCTGCATTTGAGCCCAAAGACTACATCTAAGTTTTGATATTCTAAATATATTTGATCTATGGGATTCACGTTTAACTAGTAAATACCAAAAAGTGTTTATACAGTAGCTAACTAGCCAGTAAAATCAAGATATGAAAAATCTAAGTGAGTTAGCACTATTTCATTGACAAATTATAAGGTATAAACTAGCTCAAGCTGTGATGCTCTTTCTGCTAGCCAGCTTTCTGTTATCATACAGAAGTACAGTACTGGTCAAAAGTTTGGAAACATTACTATTTTAATGTTTTAAACATTGCATTTCTTTTGCTCATCAAGCCTTCATTCATTTATTGCTTTTTTATTACCTGTTAATTCTTTTTTCAGGATTCTTTGATGAATAAAGAGTAAAAAAAAAAAAAAAAAACAGCGTTTTTTTAAAAAAGAAATCCTTTTTTAACAATACACTACCTTTCAAAAGTTTGGGGTCAGTATCTTTTCTATTTTTTTTTTTCAATAAATTAATACTTTTATTCAACAAGGATGTGTTAAATTAATAAAAAGTGTATTATTGTAAGTGTATTATACAGTAAAGACTGTATGTGTATTATTGTAGGTGTAGTAAATGCACTACATCTGAAAGCTCGTAATGGAGATTTACTACTAATCACAGAACCGCTTTACTGATGAGATGCACATGACAATGGCATGCGATTAATCGTGCAGCCCTAGTTTTCATTCATCAATAAAGCCTGAAAAAAGCACAGATTCCCCCCAAAAATCTAAAAAATTCATTTTTAAAATTTGTATTAGTATATGATCAAACAAAATGTTTATATTTATGTTTGTATATAATAGTTTTATAAATTTCCCAAATTTCCAATTAATTCCCATAAATTCCTGGTAAGTTTCAAACTTGGAATATTTCCAAAATTCCCCAGACGAAGTTCCCATGGAAATTTACCGGAAATTCTCCGCCCCTTTGCAACCCTATTCATGACCCTAAAGTCGCTGCAGAGTGAGATGTCGTATCATGACCGTTACCGTGTCAAGAGACTTCTGCTCAAGTGTGGCTCTGTGCAGTGGTCATTGATTGGATGGTACTCGCAGTAGCAGAAGATTTGACGTGACCTGCAGTGGCGATAAAACAACAACCAATATTATTGCAATATAGTTTTCCTAGATAAAACGATAACAAGAGTTCAATAAATGTTTGATATAATGTTTATGCGCCAAAAGCGGAACAAAACAGAGCTGCTTATTAGGGCTGCAACAAATGATTATTTTGATAATCGATTAATCAAACAATTAATCGTCGATGATTTCACTGATTAATCAGTAGACTGATTATTCAGCTTTTACAATTAGTTAAAATATTGAGTTAATACATTCTAATAAATAAATAAAGGTAATCACTTCAGCTTTTGAAAATCATATTATGTAATTACAATTATTTTGCAATTAATTTATACAAATAAATATATTTGGCGCACAAAATTAGATGACAGACAGAGAAACTCTTATTCACCATTTAATTAGCTATATGAAAAAGTAACTGAAGGACATGATTCTGCCTAACATCTCCCTTTGTAAGTCATAAGGATAAGAATCAAAATAAAGATAAGCGATAAGACGCTTTATTTTTGGATAAACTGTTTTATTCACAACTTAATTTCTCTTAAAATACCTTCTAGGGTTATGATAATCAAAACAGTCCTGAGCTAGAGCAAGCTTTGATCTCTCATCATATCACTGTAATCTGATGCTTTCTTAACTGCTGCTTTCTCACTGCGGTCAGTTTTTTGTGTTATTGAGAGGAAAGCGTGCAGCATATATTTACATATTGAACCAAACGCCACTCAGCAGCTTCAGGTTCGGCTGCGTTTGCTCTGAAGCGCTGCTGTGTGTGTCTTCTTCTCTTGAGATGCATCAGGAGAGCTGAATTACAGTCTTGCGCTACAGCGCCACACTGGTCAAACTGCATTACTGCAGGCTCTTACATTAGCTCACATGACATCAAGCAACTACTCGACAACAAAAATATTTCTATGTCGACTAATCGTTTCAGTCCTACTACTCATTTGAACTGCGCCACATGGAGCGTCTATCCACTCAGCTCAAAGTTCAAACGGCAGCACAGCGGTTGCGAGCTCACTAGAGCAGATGCGAGCTGATGAGTCTTGGTCACGCAACACTAAACAGCGCTGTGAGATCCAGTGTGGAGCACTTGCATTCAGTGAGGAACACAAATGACTTAAACGAGTTTAAAGCAAAATAAAACAGACTTTTCAATCTACAAATCAACATCTTTTACCATGAGTTTACTGTAGTAACAACTGCACCGTGGTACTGTGGCAGAAATGTGGGGTATTCATATCGAATTTTATTATATTATCAATGTAGACATCAGTAATGATGATCAGCTATGAACGGCTGTGACTGTATTGTGTATTTTAGCACAGCTGGAGCGCTGTATTGACCAATCAGAAGCCAGAGTGTATTATCTAATGTAATAATACATGTTAAAGTTATTGATGCTTATTATGAAGTTTTAGCAGTGCTACATCAGTGAACTGTACATTATTAATATTGATTAAATAATGATTAAGTATAAGTTGCTATATAAAATAAATCTCAAAACTGTCCATACTTTAGATCAGATTTACATTTTTTTTTAAATAGATTAATTTTCAAATGAAGTATATCTAGTGATGTAACAATTCACTCAACTCACAATGCAATACAACTCCCGATACTGATTTCACAATACGATTTTCTCATGATTTATTTCAACAAAATGGGATTCAGGACAAATTCTAAATGAAAAAGGTTAGGGATGCACCGATATGGACATTTTGGCCGATACCGATAACCGATAATTCTTTATTTTTGAAATGAAGGAAATAATGCATTATTTATCGGCTTTAAGATATCGGACAAATTTTCTTATCGGGCTGATACCGATAACAGAAAAAAATGAGCATTTATCGGCCGATACCGATATGGTGGCCGATATATCGTGCATCCCTAAAAAAGGTGTTCTTTTCAGACCAAATGCTGCACAGTTCTTTGTGAAATTTAAATGTGTAAATAAAAAAACTAAATTGAAATTTAAATAATCCAAATAAATTTCTCTGTTCAAACAAACTAAGGCTGCGCTTATGAACACTAATATGCATTATACAGAGAGGAGATGGAAAGAAAACACAATCTGAACTTTTCTAAAGAAGTCAGTTCCCTTCAGAAATGCATTCATATAAACTCTCACCCCAACTGTATCACGAATTGTTTAACAACTCAACCGACGTGAATCCTCACATTTTCATAGACTTTAAACCGGCTGGGCGTGCATCGTATTTCAAATGATATATTAATACCCTGCGAGCCTACAGAGGATTTATAGTGTAAATATGTACTAAAGCAATGCTGTACATGTTGTTCACTATCTGTCAAGTAAATGTGCTGTCGTCTGCTGTCCACTGCCTTTATATCAGTCACTCTGATCTCCTAGTGCTGTTGCATATTTGTTAAATTGACCATATAATAGATATCATAATGGCTGTAGACATGACATGAAGTCAGATTAATGCTTCCACTCAGCTGGTTTTTATGAATAATGAATATGCTTGAAATGTGAATGTGAATCTGATTTATAGAATCCATTAATTATAGTAACGATTAAATCATTAACACTCTGGTGTCGGTAAGTTCTGAGGCACTTTACCTCAATTCAGATGCAAACAAAAATCTATCATGATGTTACTGAGCCACCAGACACACTCAATCATACTAATGCCGGTCCAACATCAAACACATTGACAGATCTCTGTTACCCAGATATTTAGAAGCTCTAACATGAGAAGATGAGTGTCAGCTGAGAAGTGATGCTGAATAAGAGCATCTGCTCAGGCTGAAGGTGTGGAGATGAGATGAAATGAGAGAGGTGGAGTGTCAGTGCTACTCTCCTGCGGTGTGTGTGTGTGTGTGTGTGTTTCAGTTAGTGATCGACCGATATTGATATTTTATAACCGGTACCAATTATTTGCATGTTTATGTGCCCGATAACCGATATGCTAATGGTTTTGTCGTTCTAGATTATGAAATGCCTGCTGACAGCGCAGTTTATCTATGCATTTACACAGAACTATACTCAAACTGCGATCGCTCGCGGAGATAATAAATAATTAGTTTCCATACAGTTGTATTTATTTAGATGTTTATTAGCGAAAGAATGGTTATATAGTAAATGTTAATACAATTTAGGGTGTTTTAAACACAATATGCGCTCATTCATGGCTGTATTATTTAATTAATGCAAAGTTACGTCTTTATTGGGAGAGGACTTGACGGATTATCTTAGCTTACGTGACTCCGCCTCCATGAGAAGATGAGCATATAGACAACAGAGAGAGAATTAAATTCAGCACTTTTATTTCCAACATAAGACTAATGATGAGCATAGACAACAGACATAATGATGAGCATAGACAACAGACAGAGAATTAAATTTAGCGTTTTTATTTCCAACATGCGCCCATTCATGGCTGCATATTATTTAATTCACGCAAAGTTACGTCTTTATTGGGACAGGACTTGACGGATTATTTTACGTGACTCCGTGAGTTCGTCTCTATTTCTTCGAGCCAAGCTGCATAAACTGCATATCAGGCATTTATGTAATACATCTAATTTGTGCATTAATGGCTGTTATGTTAAATAAAGTTTACTAACTACAGTAAATCAAGTACCCGTGCACGCCGTTGTTGTTGTCTTGTTTCCCCTCAGATGCGCTGCAATGGTGATCCTGCGCGCAATTCTCAAAACATCCACAAGATGGCGGCGTTTATCTGTGAATCCGATATTACAAAACCGATATCCGATTATTGTAAAATGCTTAAATATCGGGGAAAATATCGGTATATCGGTCGATCTCTAGTTTCAGTGCTGCTCTCCTGCTGTGTGTGTGTGTGTGTGTGTCAGTGCTGCTCTCCTGCGGTGTGTGTAACGCTCTGTGTGCGTGTTTGTGTGTCTGTGTGTGTTTCAGTGCTGCTCTCCTGCGGTGTGTGTGTGTGTGTGTGTGTGTGTGTGTGTGTGTGTGTGTGTGTGTGTGTGTCAGTGCTGCTCTCCTGCGGTGTGTGTAACGCTCTGTGTGTGTGTGTGTCTCTGTGTGTTTCAGGAGGATGAGAAGTTCCTGACGGAGGTGTTTGCTCAGCTCACAGATGAAGCTACAGAGGACAGCAAGAGGAGAGAGCTGGTACATCACACTCACACACACACACACACACACACACACACGCCAGGGGTTCACGCCTGTCCTCTCTACGTCTGCAGGTGAACTTCTTCAAGGAGTTCTGTGCTTTCTCACAAACGCTGCAGCCACAGAACAGAGACGCCTTCTTCAAAACGCTGGCCAATCTGGGCATCTTACCGGCGCTGGAGATCGTGATGGTGAGTAGGGATGGGCGATATGGGCTTAAAAATGTATCACAATCATTTCTGGTATTTATTGCAATAACGATATAAATGATAATTCAGGGAATCCTGTTTCTTTAGAGAAAAGTATTATGTTTCCTATTTTTACCCAAAATATGGTGTTGTGAGCATTACTGAGTACACACGTAA